CGATGAGAGAGAATCAGTGATCGGTTGCCTCCTGCACGCCCCACACTGGGGATAAAGCCCCCAACCTGGGCATGTGCCCTGGCCGAGAATTGGACCATGACCCCCTGGTTCATAGGTCGATGCTCAACCACACCAGCCAGGCACTTCTACTTTTTTAAAAGATATAAGGACACCCTAGTCTCACCCCGACCAATTGAATTAGGGGGTGAGGGCCATGCATCTTTATATTTTTTTTAACTCCCCAGATGAGTTTTATGCACGGTGAGTTTTGAGAGCTAACCACATTGAGGGCCCCGTTTTGTTTAGGCATATAAAAAGCATCCCCTGCTTAAAACCCTGCAAAGGAAAACCATCTTAGCTATAAATCAGAACAATGTTAAATAAGTCCTCATCCACACCGAACCCTTTTTGGAGAAAGAGAGGCGCTATTCATAACTAAGCAGGGCCATAGGTGTGAGCAGGGCCTGTCCCCAGCGGGCTAGGCTGGGGGTCACCCTGTTAGCAGCCGTGGTCAGCCAACCGTGGGCCCGTGGGCCCGGCCCACTAGCCGGTGAGCCAGGAATGGTTTTTACAGAACATTTGCAACCTGTTTGGTAGAGAACACTACCTTTGAAACCCAATTACACAAAACCAGCTTCTCCCCCAGAAATTCCATTCTTCTCCTTAGTAGACCTGTTGTCCAAAATATTGTACTTCATTCTGACATTTGAAATCTTATCAATAAAACATTTGTGGAAAATTGTGGTTTTTTTCTCTTGTTCGTGTAACTAACTATATAACATCCTCAATTTTGCCTCTTGGCCTGCAAAACCTAAACTATTTCCCGTCTGTCTGGGACCCAGGTAGCAGCAGTGGCTGCGGGTGTTGGTGGCTCCCATAAGGGCATCGTTTGGCCCACACGGTGTCACTTTAAAATGTGAATTGGGCCTGGCCCGCGTGGCTCAGTGGTTGAGTGTCCACCTGTGAACCAGGAGGTCAGGGTTTGATTCCCGATCCGGGCACATGCCCGGGTTGTGGGCTCGATCCCCAGTGGGGGGCGTGCAGGAGGCAGCTGATCAATGATTCTCTCTCATCATTGATGTTTCTATCTCTCCCTTCTTCTCTGAAATCAATAAAATAATATATATTTTTTAAAAATGATTTGGAATGTGTTCAGACTAGGCTGATGCTCGTCCAGTATTTTCAGAGGCCCAGAGAGGCAGGGTAATTGCAAGTTCAGACAGCAGGTTTGTGGCCCGCTGGGACTCCTGGCCCAGCGCCTGTCCCGCCGAAGCACGTGTCTTCCCCCGGCGTGAGGTGTGCAGACCGTATGGTGCTGGATTCTGAAACTCCGTCATCCACGACGGCGTAGTAACCATCCAGCAGGTCGTCACTTGGAGCTTATCTCGCCCATCGTGGGCTTATCTGATCCCTGCTGTTTGGAGACGGAGCATCCTCGGGACTCCAGGCTCTCGCTGGGGGGGCGCCGGGCAGCACGAGGTTACATCACGTCATCACGTCGGACCTCGATCTTATCCTGCCCACCCAGCTGCATAGCACAGGGCCTGTCTGATCTTGCGGGGAAAGGCCAGGGCTCTGAGTGGAACTTCTGGTTTTTGGTTTTTTTAAAAAATATATTTCTATATTTTATTGATTTTTTACAGAGAGGAAGGGAGAGAGATAGTCAGAAACATCAATGAGAGAGAAACATCGATCAGCTGCCTCCTGCACACCCCTCACTGGGGATGTGCCCGCAACCAAGGCACACGCCCTTGACCGGAATCAAACCTGGGACCCTTCAGTCCACAGGCCGACGCTCTATCCACTGAGCCAAACCGGTTTCGGCGGAACTTCTGGTTTATAAGATGAACGTGGCCAGTGGCAGGGCCGGCGTTCGTGGGGACGTGTCTAAACACACGTGCAGGTGGTCGGCGTCTCGGTACCCGGGCAGCAGGGACACGGGCTGCGGTGGGCAGAACAGGAGCCGTTTCAGTCCGAACCCCAAGGGCCACTGCGCTGGTGACAGATAATCGTCAGCAGATGACGGAGCCGCTCCCAGGAGCCCTGCAGTGGACACAGCGAGGGGCCCACTCCCTCCGCGGCTCAGAGCTCACCTCGGGGGAAGGCAGGCAGACAGCTGTGCGTGGTGAGGTCAGGCCTCCCCTGGGGACCCCGCGCCATGCTTCCCGTCTCGGAGGTGGGTCTGTGTGCCCCGGGGCTCCGGCTGGTCGGTGCCGTGCCCCCAGCACCAAGGGCAGTGCCTGGCCAGCAGGTGCACGGCTACCATGGTCCCAGGAGCTGTTGGCGCTTCAGGTGTGTTGAGGGGGTAGGAGGGGGGCAGGAGGGACCATGTCACGTGAGTATCACACACCACGTGGGCGATCTTGTCAAAGACACGCAGATTAACTTTCCTCTATTTCACGGACTGAGCACCAGGGCAGGCACAGGGCTAAGAGCTGAGGGCATAGCCGGGAAGGAGGCAGACACGGTCTCTTCTGCGAGTTTGGAGCGAGCCTCCCTCTAGGGGGCACTGCTTTCTCCCACTTTGTGCCCACAAGCCCCGAGGGGGGCAGAGTCTGGTATGTTACCATCCTTTGAGGACAGCTGTGATGTGTCACTCTTTCTTTTTTTAGGAGATATTAATTTTTTAAATATATTTTTATTGACTCCAGAGAGGAAGGGAGAGGGAGGGAGAGATAGAAACATCAGTGATGAGAGAGAGGCATTGATGGGCTGCCTCCTGCACGCCCCCCCACTGGGGATCGAGTTCACCACCCGGGCGTGTGCCCTGACCTGGAATCAAACCGGGACCTCCAGGTTCATAGGTTGACGCGCAACCCCTGAGCCACACTGGCCAGGCATAGTAGATATTAACTGGGTTTAAAAATTAAATGTGTTGGAGTAACGTTGGTTAATAGCATTATATCAATTTCAGGTGTACATCCTAATTCAGGGGTGGGCAAACTTTTTGACTCGAGGGCCACAATGGGTTCTTAAACTGGACCGGAGGGCTGGAACAAAAGCATGGATGGAGTGTTTGTGTGAACTAATATAAATTCAAAGTAAACATCATTACATAAAAGGGTATGGTCTTTTTTTTTTAGTTTTATTCATTTCAAACGGGCCGGATCCGGCCCGCGGGCTGTAGTTTGCCCACGGCTGTCCTAATTCAACATCTGTATACTTGTTTCCTTTTGTTACCATACACTTGACCCTCCTGACCCACTTCACCCTCCCAGGTCACTCTTCACCGACTCTAAACTAGTGGTGCCCTGTGGTAGGGAGAACTGAAAGGTGTTCCCCAAACCCACCCTCCCACCCCGGTATATCCACCTGCCCAATCCCCAGGACTGAGGACAGCATGGGTTCTGTTAACAGGTGCTGTTCTGTTCTATCATTAGAGGACTAGTGACCTGGTGCACGGATTCGTGCACATTGAAATGAAATTAATTAGAAGGTGGCTGGCGGGGCGGGACTGGGCTAGACAGGCCAGACACACCCTGGAGCCAACCTCCTGTGGTCCCTCCCTGGCCGGCCGCACCTGGGGCAGCACCGCCTCAACAGGCGTCTGTGGAGTGAGTGGGGTCCCTCTGTCAAGTGGGGTCCCTCAGCCTGGCCTGCCGGGGATCGGGCCGAAACCGGTTCTTCAACATCCCTCTACGCAAACACTAGTGTGCAGGAAACCAGATTCGGGGCTGACAGCGCCCCAGCAACAGCATAACCCACGGCCGAAGGTGGAATCTCGAGGCCCCGCGAGGAATCAGGCTCCCTCCTCTCTGGTTTCGGGTGCGTCACCCGAGAACCTCCCCTGCCAAGGCACTGCAGCTCGGCAGCTCCCGCGTTGAGCGTCTGCCCCCGGTGGTCAGTGCACGTCCTAGCGACCGGTCGGACGGGCAGAGGGACACTTAGTAAGTGGTGGGGTGGGAGTTGGGTCTCAGCATCTCGCCCCCTGCAGGTGAGGATGAGGCTCCCAGGGCTCTCTCCTCCCTGCCACCTAGACACCAGGACGCTGAAAACCTGGGTGTGTGAGAAGGGCAGGCCACGGTTCCAGGCCCTGCCTCTCTCCTGCCTCACAAACAGCCGCCTGTGCTTGGTGGCGCCCCCCCGTGGTCAGCTCTGCTCAAGACGGGCTGTGCTGTTCTCTTTCAGACCAGGCTACACCGAGCCATGGAAATGTCCAGCAATCTGGAGAAGGAGATCCTGCTGAGACACGAGCTGCTTGAAAAAATTGAAAGAGAAATCCTACAGGTGGAGGAGGTAAGAGAGGGTTAAATGTGCCATTTCTGGTGTTTGCAAGGGCTTGAGTCATTGTCCACCAAGGTCCAAGCCACCTGGGTTTTTTATTTTTAATTCTCACCAGAGGATATTTTTTTCATTGACTTCTAGAGAGAGTAGAAGGAAGGGGGAAGGGGGAGAGAGAGAGAGAGAGAGAGAGAGAGAGAGAGAGAGAGAGAGAGAAACACTGATGAGAGAGAGAGACACACACACATCGATTGGTTGCTTCCCACACGTGCCCCTACCAGGCCTGGGGAACCTGCAACAGAGGTAAATGCCCTTGACCGGGAATCGAACCGGCGAGCCTTCGGTCCTCAGGCCAACGCTCCAACCACTGAGCCAAACCAGCCAGGACAAGCCACCTTGATTTTTTAGAAAAGGCGACACCATAAAAAAAAAAATCAGCCCTAGCCGGCTTGGCTCAGTGGATAGAGCGTCGGCCTGCGGACTAAAGGGTCCCAGGTTCGATTCCGGCCAAGGGCACATGGCTGGGTTGCGGGCTCAATACCCAGTGTGGGGCGTGCAGGAGGCAGCCAATCAATGATTCTCTCTCATCATTGATGTTTCTATCTCACTCTCCTTCTCCCTTCCTCTCTGAAACCAATAAAGAAATATATTTAAAAATAAAAATTTAAATTAAAAAAAAAATCAAAATATCTCTGGGCTGTCCAAGGAGAAAGTGGTACCTGGAGGCTTGCAGTCCAGCAGAGCGGCCTTCCGCTGCTGGCTTCATTCCTAGGTCAGCTCACAAGGTAGAAATCGTGTAGAGCCCAAATCCTCCTCAAGAATTCCTTAAATGCCCCATAAAATAAAATATTGAAAGTATTGCATGTACAACCTTGCAAAAAATATGACACGTTTGTAATGATGTAACTGATATGAAAAAAGTACACACCCCGAGGGGCAGTGTCCTGTGTGAAGGAGAGGGAGCCCGAGGCACCCGGCTCTCATTGGGTCGGCGGATGCGTGGCCGGCAGACCCGACCTCCGTCCTGGGCTCACGCCGGGCCCCGTGGTCACTGTGTGAGAAGACGTGGCATCATCCACCTTGTGACTGCGCACGCTCAGTGTTTTGCTGAGCGCATCAAGTTGAATTTCTGCAAGTTAAATGCACCCAGGATGGGACTCGAGGAGGACTTTTTTTTAGGAAAGTGGGGGATAAAGAGCACTGGGCTTGGCCCCACTGGTGTGCTCAGTGGTTAGAGTGTTGGCCTGCACACAGGAGCATCACAGGTTCGATTCTAGTCAAGGGCATGTACCTGGGTTGCAAGTCGGGAGGTAACCAATCGATGTGTCTCTCTCATGTCAATGTTTCTCTCTCTCCACCCACCCTCTTTCTCTCTCACCCTCCTCCCCCTCTTCCACTCTCTCTAAAAATCAATGAAAAAATATCCTCACTCCTCGGGTGAGGTTTAAAAAAGAAAAAAAAGAACACTGGACTTGGCCCCGCGGTGTGGCTCAGTTGGCTGAGTGTCATCCTATGCACCAGGAGGCCGCTGGTTCCATCCCATTCCCGGTCAGGGCACATGCTTGAGGCGCCGGCTCAATCCCCAGTAGGGGGTGTGCAGGAGGCAGCCAATTGATGGTTCTCTCGCTCTCTTTTTTTTCCTTATAATGGTTAACATCTATAGAGTATTAACTGTGTATGAGGACTCTTTTTTAAAATATATTTTTATTGATTTCAGAGAGAAGGAAGAGGGAGAGAAATAGAACATCAACGATGAGAGAGAATCATTGATCGGCTGCCTCCTGCACGCTCCACACTGGGGATCGAGCCCACAACCCGGGCATGTGCCCCTGACTGGAATAGAACCCGGGACCCTTCTGTCTGCAGGCCGAGACTCTATCCACTGAGCCAAACAAGCTAGGGTGATGTTTCTCTCTTAATAAAGGAAGGAAGGAAGGAAGGGAGGGAGGGAGGAGGAGGGAGGGAGGGAGGAAGGTAGGAAGGAAGGAAGGAAGGAAGAAAGGAGGAAAAGGGAAGGATGAAGGGAGGAGGAGGAAAGGAGACTTTTAAGCTATACTTGGTGTTTCTGAACTGGATGAAACATCACAATCTATAAAAATGAGCTTTTTGTGATTCCCCCCACTCCTTTGAAAAAGTCAAACATGTTTTCAGAACTATGCTGCAACTGGGGAGAGATGGGAGGGCCAGCAAGTCCCAGTGGCCAGATGCGGCGGGATCCCGGGTGACTTGGTCCTTCCCAACCCAGGACCGGGCCAAAGCCGAGGCTCTGAACAAGCAGCTGCGGAGGCAGATGGCCGAGTTCCGAGCGCCGCCCGTGATGACGTACGTCAAGGAGAAGATCTTCAACGGGGACCTGGAGAAGACCATCCGCGTCTGGGAGAGGAAAGTGGAGATCGCGGAGGTAGGGCCCCCCACCCCCCTGCCCCCCCAGAGAGGCTCCGGGTGGGCAGCCTTTCATGCCCTTCCCATTTTTTGTCTGCGAGTTTGTTTTTGAGCTAAAGATACAGATGTTTGGACTCGTAACATCTGAGAGGAATCGCCACAGTTGCTTTGAGCCTTATATTGAAACAAAGGATGACTTTCCTTTTTTAAAAAAGAATTTTTTTTTAAATTATTTATTTCAGAGAGAAAGAGAGAGGGAGAGAGAGATGGAAACATCAATGATGAGAGAGAATCCTTGATCGGCTGCCTCCTGCACGCCCTCTACTGGGGATCAAGCCCGCAACCCGGGCATGTGCCCTGACTGGGAATCAAGCCATGGCCTTCTGGTTCATAGATGACACTCGGTGTGCAACCTGGCCTGGGTCAGTCGGGGGCGTGCAGGAGGCAGCCGATTCTCTCTCATCATGGATGTTTTTCTCTCTCGCTCCCTCTCCCTTCCTCTCTGAAATCAATAAAAACTTGATGGAAAAGAACGTTTCCTAAAAGACATACTTAGAGGACAGCCGCGCTTTCACACCTGGGCCCTGGCTCCGCTTCCCGCCGCAGGAAGTAAATTGGGAGCCAGCCTTGGGCCCGTCAGACCTGAAGCTGAGAAGTAGCAGGGCATCCCAGCAGGAACCTGCAACTTCTCACTTCACCGGCCAGAAACAAGCTCTTTTAGAGCAGCGGTCACCAACCTGTGATCCACGAACCACTGGTGCTCCCTGAGGTCCGAAGGGCTAGCGACTCTCCCAGGCGCCCCTGGGCAGCCACGCCCTGCCCCGTGGACCCCCGTGCCCCCATCCAGGGCTGTGCTCTGACTAGTCACAGTCCGAATCCCCCAAGGGACCTCTCCCCTCTCCTCCTTTCCTTCCGCAGATGTCCTTAAAAGGCTACCGCAAGGACTGGAATAAGATGAAGGCCACCAACGAGAAGTTGCAGCTCATCAGCCCCCCGGGGAAGTAGCCGGAGGGAGGCCATGGGCTGCGGACCAAAGAGCAATCCATTAAAATAACCAGCTCCTTTCTAGCCACAGGGCCCCCTCTCTGTTCCCCGGGCCCGTGGGCCTGTGGTGGGCGTGGCCCCAGCCTGGCCCCTGGAAACGCTGACACTGAAAGAACCACAGGGCACTCTCGCGGTTTGACTCGTCAGCCCACCTTTAGTTCACAAGCACAGATGACGGTGCCGTGGGAGCACGTGGCAGTGACACAGAGGAGGGCGGGCCGCGGGCCGGGCCGCGCCAGCCAGGCATGCAGCCATCAGGCACCCACGCGGCGTGGCAGGCGCCTGGCACTCAGCATTCTGAGCCTACTCTCCCGTGGGGGTGGGGGTGGGGGGTTAGCTCCCAGACTGTCTACCGTTCCAAAAGAAAACAAGCGCAGAGGAAAGCAAGAGCGTTTCTTGGGGCTGATGCAACCTGTTCTGACCCGAAATGGACCCCCCCTGCCCGGCCTGCTGGCTGTAATAGTCATAGTACGCGGGCAGGGCCTCCTCCTCCTTTGGGGAGCTGTCCAACTCCCTCACGCCCTTCCCCCGGGGTTCCACGCCCTCGGAAGAGCCGTTCTCCGGCCACGGAGATCTGTCCATGACGATGGTCACCTTTGCTGGCTCTTGGAGCTGCGTCTCCCTGGTGGGCGCCGAGGGGTCCTGGGCAGGGGCCGCGTTCTCCTGGTGGGGGTGGTAGTGGTGGAACACGGACAGGGGGAGAAGGCTGTCCATCTGCGTCTGGGACGTGATCCAGTCGCCGTAGTCTTCCACCTTGATGTACAGGAAGAGGCCAGGGCACCTCTCGCCCCCCTGCGACAGGACTCCACGCAGCACCCACAGGTCCAGCCCCTGCAGCTGGCACATGAGCGGGTTTCCTGGGTCCCCCTGTGACAAAGGACAGAAGGCTTCAGGTCTAAAAGAACTTTACATTTTTGTTTTCTTTTTTAAAATATATTTTTGGTTCGCTCCCGGGTTTTGGCACCAAAAATAAAAATAAAAATAAAATATAAAATATATTTTTATTGATTTCAGAGAGGAAGGGAGAGGGGAAGAGAGAGATAGAAACCTTAACGATGAGAGAGAATCATTGATCGGCCGCCTCCTGCATGCCCCACACTGGGGATCGAGCCCACAACCCGGGCATGTGCCCTGACCGGGAATCGAACTGTGACCTCCTGGTTCATAGATTGATGCTCAACCACTGAGCCACGCCGGCCGGGCTGAAAGAACTTTTCATTGTTGATACATCCTTGTGCAATTTACGGTTTGCTCCAGAAATGTTCTACGCCGGTTCTCACTGGAACGGGGCAGATGATAGGGTACTCTCTCCAAGCTGGGCAGCCACCGCCACAAATCTCAACATGACGACTCTTCCTTTCATTGTACAAATTTATCTGTCGACTTCTGCACTCTGCCTGTAGCTTCCTGGTTCGCCTTTCATTGTCTTGCCCTTTTCAGTACTTGGACCAAATCCCTCTTTCGGTTTCTCATGCCTCGAATGTTGACATTCCTTTCCTTTCTGGCCGGGAATGGCCACCTTTCCCCCCCTCACCTCTCTCTTTTGTTTCCATCCCGCACTGAAGCTGCTCGCTCCCACCCAGAGTCCTGCAAGGGTCAGGGTCACGCTGGACTAGGGTCGCCTGGGCAGCTGCCGGTCCCTGTGCGCGCTCCCGGCGTTCCCTGCTCCTGTGGGAGTGGTCGTGAGGCCACGGGCATTCTGCCACACTGACCTCTCTCTCTCACCAGGTGCGTGGGTGGGAGTTTGGCACACTTGGTAGCGAGGTGACCCTGGCCAGTCACCTAGGTTTGAAAGTGGAATTGCCTGATCGTGTTCCACTGACGACGGTGACTGGGGGGGGAGGGGTCCATTCTGCAGGCGTTTTATTGAGCACTTGCTCTCCGCCAATGCCGGCCCACACAGAGTCAGTCCCGACAGCCACGAGTCTCAAGTAACAGCCCTGCCTCGGGGGATCCCCATCTCTGGGAGTGACACGATTCCTCTCTGCATTGAGCTTCTGCTCCATCATGTTCTTTTTTTGTTAATCCTCACCGCAGGATATTTTTCCATTGATTTTTAGAGAGAGTGGAAGGGAGGGAGAAGGGGGAGTGAGAGAAGGAGGGAGAGCAGGAGAGAGAGAGGAAGAGACAGAGAGGGAGAGAAACATCGATGTGAGAGAGAGACATCGATTGGCTGCTTCCCACACACGCCCTGACCTGGGCTGGGGATCGAGCCTGCAACCGAGGTACATACCCTTGACCGGGAATCGAACCCACAACCCCTTCAGTCCGCCAGCCAATGCTCTAACCACTGAGCCACCGGCCAGGGCGAGTCCGCCATGTCTTACCAAGCAGACAGTATCCGTCTCCTGCTCCACGTGGCTGCCACATCCTGTGTTCTGGAACTTGTATAAGGGGCACAGGTCCATGTCTTGCACGGAGATTTTCCTCAGGATACTCATCGTCATTTGCTCTCCCGTCTGCACCATGCAACAGAGAGCCCGAGAGTTATCAGCAAGAAGACAACCCCCGCAGCCACCGCAACTACGACTCACACGTCCAGGTGGGGGTGAGCAGACACCGTGCGGATCAACCCCCTTTCCTCCTAGACATCGGGGCCCGGGGCTGAGATTTTTACTGGAAACTACTTGTGCTTTCAACTTGAAGGTGAATATAGGCAGAGAACATATTTATATCCCTTTTCAACATCTACAGAGAGTACATTTCCGTGTTTACTTCCCCAGAAAACAAGGATGGCTTAGACAAGAGGACAGTTCGCTCTGGTTCGGGGAGCAGTGTCCCTGGCCCCCCTGTAACTCGCGCTGATTTCAGGTTGCCAGCTGCCTATGTACTTCCGATTGTGGTCTATGTAGGACTAGAAGGAAAAAGGGCCGAATGTACTAGTAAGAATGGCCAGAGAAAGGGCAAGCACTGGGAATCTTGACTGATTAGCTGTGGGTTCCAGCCCGACTCTAGAACCTCGAGCCACCTGCATTAAGATAAAGCCCTAGCTCGACCCACGTGGCTCCGTGGTTGAGTGTCGACCTATGAACCAGCAGGTCACGGTTCAATTTCCGTCGGGGCACATACCAGGGTTGCAGGCTCGATCCCCAGTGTGGGACGTGCAGGAGGCAGCCAGTCAATGGTTCTCTCTCATCACTGATGTTTCTCTCTCTCTCCCCCTCTCCCTTCCTCCCTGAAATCAATAAAAGTATTTCTTTTTAAAAGATAAGGGCTAGAATGGTTCGTCCAAGTCCCCCTACTGCCAGCACACTCAGCCTCCGCCAGGAGAAGGAAGGCATAACTGCAAACGTGGGGTTCCAGCCGGCCACCCAGCAGTTGCGCGAGGCCAGCGGCATGTACAGCTTCCTGCCCAGGAAGCAGATGGGCTGCACCAGGCTGGTGAACTGCATGGCCGTGTCTGTCTTCAGGAGGGCTAAGTCATTGGTCATCGTCTTGTTATCAAAGTCCTCGTGGACGATGATGGTGTTGACCAGGAACTCTTCGTGAGACACCACCGAGGCGTTCATCCTCGCGATGCCCACGACGGCCACGGCGTCCTTCCTGGAGGGAGAGCGAGGGCACCTTGAGAAGCCGAGGCGCCAAGAAGGCCGCGTTCTTCCCCGTTTTCATTATCTTAATAATGAGCGGGTTTGGCTCAGTGGATAGAGCATTGGCCTGCGGACTGAAGGGTCCTGGGTTTGATTTCGGTCAAGGGCGCTATATTTTAAAATAAGATTCACATGGACCACAAGGACAGCCTCAACAAATTCCTAAATCACCACACAGGATAACTCAAAATTAAATGGTGCGGAAAATAGAACAAAACACCTTACCACCTGGATATTTTAAAACTCTGTCTTTCACAAAACCCTGGGCCAAACAGAAAAGCAAACCAAAACAGCAGACTAAACAGAAAGTAGCCATATCGGGAACTCCAACACAAAGCAGAAGCTCTCCAAGGGCTAGTGGCGGTCACTGTGAATGTCGAACCCCGTCTTCCACTCCCCGGTCATTCATGCTGCAAGATGCCTGCATTTGTGGGGAATGACGTAGGTACCACTCCACCTACTGCCGTGTTTTGGGCCCTGGGAAAAGGTAGAAAACCATGCAAATGTCCCTCATTAGAGGACTGGGTGATGATACATCCATCATGGGATACTGTGCAGCTGATGAAAAGAATGTTGCTCTTGCCCGGCCGGCATGGCTCAATGGTTGAGCATTGACCTATGAACCTGGAGGTCATGGTTCGTTTCCCGGTCAGGGCACATGCCCAAGTTGCAGGCTCGATCCCCAGTAGGGGGTCTGCAGGAGGCATCCAATCCATGATTCTCTCTCATCATTGATGTTTCTCTCTCTCTCTCCCTCTCCCTTCCTCTCTGAAATCAATTTAAAAAAATGTTTTTGAAAAAAGACTTTCCAATACTCATGATAGAGTGAAAAAAGCTGACAGTGAAATACTGAGTATGGTGTGCTACCGGTTGTTGGTTTTTTTTGGGGGGGGTGTTATGAACTGAATTGTGTTCCCCAAAATTCATTTGTGAAGCTCCAACCCCAAAAGCAGCTGCATTTGCAGATAGGGCCTTCAAGGGGGTAATTAAGATTAAATCAGGCCATGAGGGCAGGAGTCTAATCCAAAGGGACTGGTGTCCTTATAAAACGAGGAAGAGACACAGGAATGCGGACACAGCGGGAAGGCCATGTGAGGACGCCCTGAGGGGGTAGCAGTCCGCCAGCCCATGAGAGAGGCCTCAGGAGACCCAACCTGCCAGCACCGTGATCTTGGACTTCCAGCCTCCAGAACAGTAAGAAATAAACTTCTGTTGTCTGAGCCACCCTGTCTGCGGTCTTTTGTTATGGCCGCCCTAGCAGATGAATGCCGGGGAAAGAAAATTCCCTCTCTGTCAGTAGATATAGGCTTATAGGACCTGTGGGTACATAGCTATGTATACAGAGAGCTATACATGCATTGGGTATTTAAGGAAGAATCCCCTAGAAACTGGTGACAGAGCTCAAGGGAGGGATACAGTAACTGACATGCCACGGAGGGAAGGGATCCCTTTCCTTGTATATCCTTTGGTTCCTCATGAACATTCTACTTTGCACATGTATTTCCAATGTAAAAATATAAATCATAAGTAAAAAAAAATCAGCATCTGCCCTAACTGGTTTGGCTCAGTGGATAGAGCGTCAGCCTGCAAACTCAAAGGTCCAGAGTTCGATTCCGGTCAAGGGCATGTACCTTGGTTGTGGGCACATCCCTGGTGGGGAGTGTGCAGGAGGCAGCTGATCGATGTTTCTCTCTCATCGATGTTTCTAACTCTCTATCCCTCTCCCTTCCTCTCTGTAAAAAATCAATAAAAATATTTTAAAAAATCAGCAGCTGCACAATATTCCATTGAAAGTTTATAATTTGTTTTGCCAATTATAGTAATTGCTAGAGGCCCAGTGCACAAAATTCGTTCACTCGGGGGCAGAGGGTCCCTCAGCCTGGCCTGTGCCCTCTTGCAGTTCCAAGCCCTTGGGGAGTGGGCCTAAGCCAGCAGTCGGACATCCTTAGCACTGCCGCAGAGGCGGGAGAGGCTTCTGACTGAGTTGTGCTCCCCCTGTGGGAGCACACTGACCACCAAGGGGCAGCTCCTGCGTTGAGCATCTGCCCCCTGGTGGTTAGTGTGTGTCATAGTAACCGGTTGTTCCACCATTTGGTGGATTTGCATATTAGCCTTTTATTATATAGGATAGTCTCTCTCCATACTCTGTATGTGTATATCTATATATCTATATATCTATATATCTATATCTATCTACCTATCTATCTATAAATATATTTATATGTATGTATATAAAAGCCTAAGCGACCGGCCAGCTGACTGGTAGCTATGACGCGCACTGACCACCAGGGGACAGACGCTCAACACATAGGCATGGGAACATGGAACAGACTGATGAATCTCAGAGGGAAGCAGGGAGGGGGGAGGGCAGGAAGAAATTAACCAAAGATCTATATGCAAACTAGAGGCCCGGTGCAACCCATGCACTGGTGGGGTTCCTTGGCCTGGCCTGTGGGGATCAGGCCGAAACCGGCTCTCCAACATCCCCCGAGGGGTCCCAGATTGCAAGAGGGCACAGGATTCGTGCACCGGGCCTCTACTATACTATATAAGAGTAATATACTATATTTTATTTCTCCATAATAATTGTACGTTATGTCCCAGTGTTTTATTAACTATCCCATGAACAACTCTGTGTATACAATTTTTCCAGTGGCTGAAATTATTTACTGAATGTTGATTACCAGAAGTGAAATCATTGGGTCAAAAAGTAAGATTTTTAAAAACAAAACAAAACACAGTTATTCTTTTAATAACATTTGCAGGGTGTTTTTTTTTCTGGTTTAAAGAATGCACATTAAATGTAAAGAATTTGGAAAACACAGAGACGTTCAAAGAAGCAAACAGCAATCAGATCCCTGCGCTTAAATGCTGGCGTGTTTCCTGCACATTGTTAAGGCCCCAGGCCAGCTTTAAAACCAGGGCTCCTACCAACGTTAGTGCCTCTGTGTCCCCGTAAAACGGGCAGGAAGGAACGACCTTCCTGCAGAGGAGGGGCACCGTTTCGCTGTGCAGTTGGGGGCGGTGGTGGTGGGGGCAGCGGGAGCTCCAAGGCTGGCATCTGGCGACCTGAGGACCCAGGACTCTTGGCAGTGCTGAGCCGGGAACAGGCCTGTCACCCCGACACCAGGAGTCCACCTTCCAGGCCTCCCCCAGCTGAGCGGGGGAACAGCTCCCCACCCGCCCAGGGCACCGTGAGGCCCCAGTCAGGGTACTGGCCTGTGCTGAAAGGCAGACGCGATGCTGAGGATCCAGAACTCACTGAGGATGCTGCCGAAAGCCAGGTGCGCGTGGTGGGAGTTCTGCAGGGACACCACCCACGGGAACTCCTCCTCGCTGACCAGACCCTCCTCGGAAGTCTCTATACCGTTGGTTTTCTGGATGCCACAACCTGCAGAGGGAGGTGGGGGGGGGCCTCACCGCTGGGGCCAGGGGTGGGCGGGCCTGTGGCCACCACCCCCACACCCGACTGCAGGTCGCCCCCCTGCTGGCCGCCCACTCTGTCTGACTCGCCATGGTCACCATTAACTCTCCCAACCCCGCTGCTTTTTCTAGTTGGTTTCCTTCCCTATGAAAGAGAGGATGGTGCCCACGCAGGGGGGCGTGCTCTGCCTGGCCGGTCGCTGTGTCCCTGGAGGCCCTCTCATCCCCACCCCTGCAGAGTGGGGTGCAGGGACTCCCCACCTGGCTGCACACTCCATCCACCTGCCCCCGGCCCCCTCCCCCAGTGACAGGGCCTGGGCACCGGCATTTTTGAAAAGCTCCCATGCCCTGGCCAGTTTGGCTCAGTGGACAGAGCATCGGCCCACGGATGCGGACGGAAGGGCCCTGTGGAGACGGGGAGAGCGGGCACTCACTGGCAGCAGCGTGGGAGGCGCAGAGCAGCAGCACCAAGAGCATCCCCGCCATCCCCAGGCGCGGCCGCAGCAGACACCACGGGCAGCTGTGGGGACAACAGGGCGTTTCCTCTCCTCCCAGAGCAGTGCCTTCCCCCAGCGTCCGCGGCCCGGCCCCTGCCCTTCCCTTCCCTTCCCTTCCCTTCCCTTCCCACCAGCACAGCTTCGGGACGTGAGGGACACACCTGTCCTGCCCCTGTGGCCTGGTCCCGGGCAGTCCGGAGGCAGGGACCAGGCGCCGGGCACAGAGACTCTGTTGGGACCCGGGAGACGGCCCGAGGAGAGGAGGCTGCCCCCGCCTGTCGATCCAGCCAGGGTCCCCGCTTCCCAGACAGTCGGGGCTCAGAAAGGTGCTGGTGTTTGGCTCCTGGAATTCAACCCTTGCCTTAACGCTGTCGCTGTAAAATGCTGCCGAAAGGAAAAGGCAGGGGTTCAGTGTGGGTCCGCCCTGGTTTTGTCCCTCCTGCTGAACGCGGCTGGGTTCCATGATGCTGGGTTTAGCCAGGGACAGTTCCTGCTTTTACATACGGTGGCCACAGACCTGGTATTTTGCTCCGTTCATTCGCACCATAACCCCGTGATGTAGGCACAGGGATTAGCCCCATTTTACAGATTCAGAAACTGACCCTGGGAGACACAGAGGAGCCTGCCCAAGGGCACGTGGCTGCCAAGTGGGGAGGCTGGAAGCCAAGCTCCGGTGTGTCTGCATCCCAGGCCATGCGGCCCAGCTGGGGCAGCTCAGGGGTTGAGCGTCGACCTGTGAACCAGGAGGTCACGGTTTGATTCCTAATCAGGGCACCTGCCTGCGTTTCGGGCTCAATCCCTGGTGTGGGGCATTCAGGAGGCAGCTGATCAATGATTCTCTCTCATCATTGATGTTTCTCTCTCTCTCTCCCTCTCCCTCTCCCTTCCTCTCTGACATCAATAAAAATAGATTTAAGCCCCAGGCGATGTGTCCTGGCCATCCGCCCGCCTTACCTCCTCCCCTTGCCTCAAACGATGCCCAAGCGCCCGAGGAAGCCATGGGCGCCGTTCTCGGTCACCATGTCCCACTCCCGACACCGGGTGTCCCTCGTCGTCCGACTGTTCTCAGAGCTCTTCTGTGAATGCTCCCGCTGAAGGAGAAATGAGCTTGCTCCGACCTGACGCAGCGAGAGCCCGACACAGGGATCCCCTTCTACCACCTCGGGAAGAATGTTCCATTGTGGCCTCACGGTTACCATGGCGCCAGCGGGCAGACGTCTGGACATGGGGACTTAGGAGGAGCCAGGATGAAAAGCCGGCCTGTTTCCTAAGCTTGGCAAGGGCTCTTCTGGAAGCCTGGCTGTCCCTCTTGTCAGATCACAGAGTCCTGTCCGGTCGCGGCCCTGGTCTGTCCACCTCCTCAGCACCCGACTGCGTCTGCCTGTGTTTGTCAGACGGCGGAGGCAGCCCGCGGCTGGGGTGGGTTTGGTTTTTCCAGTCCCCGTCAGCATCCTCATACTCCCAGCCTGGCTTCCTGGAAGCTCAAACCTTTTTTTAATATAAATTCTTTTTTTTAAAAAAAAAATATATATATATTGATTTCAGAGAGGAAGGATGAGGGACAGAGAGATAGAAACATCAACGATGAGAGAGAATCATGGATCAGCTGCCACCTGCATGGCACACGGGGGATGGAGCCCACAACCCGGGCATGTGCCCTGATCGGGAATGGAACCACGACCTCCTGGTTCGTAGGTCGACGCTCAACCACTGAGCCTCGCCGGCTGGGCCTCAGCCCAGTTGTCTTCAGCGGCTCCAAACCAAGCCTCCCAAAGGCTCTGTCAAATCGTGGGGCCCAGTGGGAGCCCCACACAGGGTACACACAGTCTGCATGAGAAAGGAAAGCTGGCTGCCTCCTGAGGACGACAGAAGAGTCCAAGGCAGGCATGAGCTCTGAAGATGTCTAAGGCAGAAGGGCCCTGGGAGGCCTGGCTTTTATCTTCAAACGTTGGACCTAGAGAGACCTCCCGGCTCGGGTGAGGGTCTCCGATGCAGCATTAATCACAGTAGCCAAGAGGTAGAAGCAATTCAAGCGTCCACCCCAAGATGAATGGAATTTTAAAAAAAAAGCGATGCAGACATACAATGGACTATTATTTGGCCTTCAAAAATGAGGAAAGCTTGTCACGTGCTACAACATCCTCACACTTCCATTGTCCGGGAGAGTCCAGCCAGCCCTAGCTGGTTTGGCTCGGTGGCTAGAGCGTCGGCCTGCAGAATGAAGGGTCCCCGGTTCGATTCCAGTCAAGGGCACATGCCCGGGTTGCGGACTCAATCCCCAGTGTGGGGCTTGCAGGAGGCAGCTGATCAGTGGTTCTCTCTCATCATTGATGTCTCTCCCTCTCCCTTCCTCTCTGAAATCAAGAAAATTTAAAAAAAAGTCCAGCCGGTGAAAACTTGGATTTCATCCCAGCCCAAATGCCACCCTGGCGTTTGTGTGCGACAATCATTTCTGCCGGTAGGTGGCGATCTTGCTGCGACAATCTACATGCACGGTTTCTCCAAGGGCAGCCAGCTGGGGGCACTCAAAAAAAAAATGATAACGTAAAAAAGGGCTTCTACGCTGAAGACTCCTCTGCAGAGAATTTGCAAACCGCAGGAGCAAAAAATGCTCAAAAGCAAACGTGTCTTCCCTGGTTTCTGATCACTGTTTTTAGAGAGAACTGGGTCTAGAAAAAACCCCTGCCCGCCCTCGTTAACGTACTGAAAATGTTAAAACTTAAATTACGCTGTCGGGGTTTTCTCTCTTCTTCGTTGGTGTCAGCTGGCTTCTTCATTGGCCTCATTTCCCAAGGCGGCTCGGCACCTGGACTGTCAACAAACTCTCAAAGCAGAGGCTGCCCAGCCTGCCGGGCCCCCCAGGAAAGTGTCTGTCTGCGGGGTCACCGCCCTGGGTGACAGCCTTAGACCATGATTCCTGCATCCCTGAGACTTGGGGTTCCAGCTGCTCTTCGGTTCCCCTTGCAGCATCTTACAGACGGGCGGGCCATGTACCCAGGAGACTGGGAAGGGTTCTCGTTAGCCTCAGTGCCTGTTTCTGCCCGGAGCTCAAAGGTAAGATTTTATTTGATAGAAACTCTCTGTACGCTGTCAAAACAAGCAAAACACCCGCAAAAGCCACTATTTCACAAAGGCCCAGGGATATCAAGTGGCTGCAGATTACACTTCAACTCTCTCTTTTTCTTAAAAATGTGGTTTTTAAAAAATTGATTTTAGAGAGAGAGGAAGGGAGGAGAGAGAAACTTCGATGTGCGAGACACTGGTCAGCTGCCTCCTGCACGCCCCCTACTGGGGATCGGCCTGCAACCTGGGCATGTGCCCTGACCCTGAATGGAACTGACAGCCTTTTCATGCTCAACCAACTGAGCCACAACGGCCAGGACTCAATCACATTTTAGAGGTTGGAGATGAAGATTAAAATGAATGTTTTCTTTCTTCTTGATGTTGCAAGCTAGCCGAGTCCAAGAAAAACAAGTGTAATATATTTTTCATCTGCAGGTGGCAATGTTTCTACTATCAGCGTTATCTTTATTACAGGGAGATCATTAGACATAATCTTTTCACAAAACATTTTTTAAATTTTTTGCTTTGGAACATTTCAAGCATTAGTCCCTTCCTCTCCAGCTGGGTAATTTTGAAAAACAAACAAACAAACAAAACCCAGACCATAAAAAAATTACAATAGAAAAATAAAGTTATGATACCACCTGTAAAACACTTCCAAGGAATTCTAGAAGCATCCATGGGGCCCTAAAAAAATAAATAAATGGGCAACTAAGAAACAAATAAAAAGCAGCTTTCTGATTCTGAAGATGAAAGGCATTGAACGCCATATCCTATAGAACACGGTGTGGTCAAACCTGTCTATCAAATGATGTAGGAGTGTGTACGTTATATAGGCAGAGGGTGGGAAGGTGAAATTAACAGTGATGCCTTGTGTCTGAAGAAGAGCTTTTAATTATTTTAAAAGCAATGATGAAGTGACAGAGATGACAAACTACGAAACGAGAGACAATATGACATGCACATAACCTCGGGGTTAAAAAGGGGAGAAGACCAAGTTAGACGTTTTCGCAGAGTAATTGGACATATGAAGGGAATCCGAGTAAACAAAGGGAATGGAAAACTACCGACTTGTGAGCGCACAGCAGTGGCAGCTGCTGGCTCTAAAATTAGGAATAGAGACACGACATTTTCGGAGCAACATCGCAAAGGCTCAGCCCACCAGCGCCCTTCAGAAGGGCTTTCACCCCTAAACCAGTGATTCCCAAAGTGGGCGCTACCGCCCCCTGGTGGGCGCTGCAGCGATCCAGGGGGGCGGTGATGGCCACAGGTGCATTTGGGGGCATATATCTTTCTGTTTAATTGCTATTAAATTTTTAAAAAAATTAATTTCCAGGGGGCGCTGAGTAATATTTTTTCTGGAAAGGGGGCGGTAGGCCAAATAAGTTTGGGAACCACTGCCCTAAACGATCGCAAGGCACACACGGCCATTGCCAGGTGGGCACCCGGTGGCTGCTCACTTCCCCAAACCTCGCTGCTCACTGAGTCCAGGGCCATTTCTCTACAGAGGGCCGCCCTTGAACCACCGCTCAAACGAAAACCAAGGACAGAGAACCCGGCCGGCATGGCTCCGTGGTTGAGTGTTGACCTATGAACCAGAGGGAGTCACCAGTTCGATTCCCGGTCAGGGCACATGCCCTGGTTTCTGGCTCAATCCCCAGTAGGGGGCGTGCAGGAGGCAGCCGATAAATGATTCTCTGTCATCATTGATGCTTCTCTCTCTCTCTCTCCCTTCCTCTCTCTGAAATCAATAAAGATATTAAAATAAATAAAAAATATTTATTAAAAACAAAAGTTAAAAGAACCCAGTAACGCTGGTGGGATATTGATCATCGTAAGCCCTGCATACAGGCAACTGGGTCTATTTCTGAAAGGCCCTCAGCCATTCGCCGTGAGGATGAGGATCAGAATGAGCGGAGGGTGTTCCGGTCCCTGCCGGGAGCGTGGGCCTTCGC